GAACAGCAGTCTTAGATATTTTTATAATGGACTGGTGTGCTTTCGGATATGACGATTCAAGGGCATTTGTTTTGATCCACACCACGCTCAAAGGCTCTGCGTTAAAGAAGCTGGCTCACTTTACGAGGTAAGAGGAGTGCACGGAACTCAGGAACTATAGGACTTCATCGAGTACTTAGACAAGCTATACCTCGACCTATTATAATTAGTCTATGATTTGGGAACGTACATTTGCGCTGTATCAGCTAAGATAGTTTGTGGAAAGATATCTTCATTAATGTGCAGAAGTGAAGTTACAATGATAATTGCTGTGTTATAGATTGGGGGAAGCTCGTCCTTGTCTCCTAGCTTGTTCGCCTGTACTGATCACTTAACCAGTATGCAGCGCACCAAAGTGTGCTCCCAACTGAGCAACTATGCCATTTTTCATATATCAACCCATCTCTTATACTGCACCCAGTACTACTTGTAATGCTGTTATGTGGAGACTGAATCTCCTTCATGCGTCATAATTCCATACTACCATAAAAACTACCTGTGCACCAGCTACTAGATCTACCATACTATATAGCTAAGCATAACAAATTCGTCCTATCTCCTTCCTCAAAGAAGACAAAACTCAACACCTGCCACTAGCGTCCCATACGAACCTTCAGATTTCACTATAGAGTCTGCGCAGCTGAGTTTAGTATTACATTTTCAACTTTGTGCCGAGTTATCTCTCTCTCCGTCAAAGACACACTTCCGATAACACGTAAGACGACAAAGTCCACGATAATGATGCTGGGAATGAGGAAAGACAATGCGGTGCCAAACGCTACAACGGTAGTCAGAAAAGCTCTCGTTATATCACAATATGTGCTACCCAAAGGCGGGCAAATAAAAAGCCCACGAATGCAAAGTAAAAGACCCTTCCGCCCTCAAGAAAAGTAGATTTGGACTCGTCAGAAATATGGTCCCGACTAATCTACACTTCCAAATTTACTAGCCAGGAGGGCATCTGAAATATATGAGCTGCCCGTTGACCCATCATTCGTAACGACTTTTGGATGCTAGGCTAGGCTCCTTCACGGCAGTCATCCTCGACCAAGACTTTTCTGACATCTTTTCACGACCTTCGGCTTATCCTGCGGCATGAATCAAGGGAGGAGTAAGAATGAGGCTAGGAAAGTTGAGAGACGCTCTTAGGTATATACAGGTTTGCTGCGCCCGGCTGGCCTGCCTCTTCTTCATAGGAGAGCCCTGCACCCAGTGGTTTTTGAGATTTTTCCCTGCAGCTGTACACCCGCAAATGACCATCGCTTCGTTGGCTGGAGAGGGGACATAATGACGGGATAACGGCTCCTCTTAGTGTGTACTCGAATGAAGACCTGTGGGGTTATTGCTGCTGGAAAGAAGTCGTGAAGGAGGGAGTATACTACCCGAGCCATAGATACTCCTGAGGTTTCTTGTGCACGTTAGTAAGAATAAAATGATAAATGTTGATTGTGAAATTCACGGATGTCTCGTGGCTCCGACTACGACAATCTATATGTGTGTAGAGCTTGAGACTAGGTGTAAACTTGGATTTCTATTAACGTTTTAACTCCTCCTTAAATACATAAAATCCTCTATACTCCAGATAATGTAACGATCAACGATACATGACGAGTAAACTATCAGGATACAGTAGGGGAGGAGTGAGGTGCTTAGCCGCCTGGATTGTGACCAAAGAATGCGGGGGGTGCATTCTTGATGGGACCTCTAACTTGGCGGCTCGCTTGCCGTGAGACTTAGCGTTTCGCTCGGACTTGGAATTCAGGATCCTCACTCCCGGCCTGTAGGCAGAAAGGACCTACATGTCCTTACATGGTTATAGACTCATTAGGACAATAAATACATACGTATAAAAACTGCTTCGACGCACTGCCTGTAGGAAACCTCAAGAACACCAGTAGACACGAGACAGCCAGTTTTGGGGGGTCTTTGCCGAATTGGTTTCTTCCCTAATTTTATCATAAAGCGAGATTTGTCTGCTTGGGTCTATTAAGTACCTGAACGGTGTAAGGGTCCCGGTATATAAAGCTTGAACGTTTGTATGTGGAAAGATAAGTTTATTTGTTAACTGAGGCGCAATAGTAATTCTACATCTAACGCCCTATTCATATGCATGATTCCAATGTTCCAAACACTAGTAGCTGTCCTCCAGTCGCGCTCTCATTAATCAGGTGCGGGCTAGTTACCGACGTTTCAAACATGGACAGTTCCAGACTTTTAATACAAGCGTAACTTAGCGCTGACAATATAAACATGTCTGTGCTGAATAGCACAGGCTGCAGGGATTCTATCGGCTTACTAGCCGTTACAAACGGGATGAATAGACAATACATAATAATGTTATATAAGTTAGGGAGGCTATTCTCAACATCTGTCAGCGGTGTCCCCTACGAACCTCCAGCTCTCACTGTAGGGTCTGCATTACCGAGGTTAAGTAACAAAGTCCTCACTTCGACGAGGATTCCCAATCGCTTTCGCGGTCTGTATCGTCTTCGTCTCTCACAACATATTTCTCCCAACACCGCTATCACGAAGCTAACCACTATCATATCAGTTGTCAGGGTCGAAGGTTTTCTAATAATCAACCCTTGATCATGGAGGAAAAGCTATCCGGTGGGTTTCCGGAGCATACCCAACACCCGATACGGAGATGGCGGATTGGATCAAGTCGGCCTCGACCGTTACAAAGGGAGATGTAGTCGAATATGCGCACCTCAGGAGGTCCTGGTGCCTAAGCAGCTGAGTGGCTGGAGCTGCAGGTTTTTTGAGACTTTTTCTCGCGCACGCAGTTACCATTTCTGCCATTTTAGATTTCTTTGGATAGAAGGTTCCGTGAATATGGAGGCTTAATTTCGCGGGTAAATACCGAACTGAATGTTAGTTCATCACGGGCAATATTTAATAAAGAATGTAAGTGACGAATGAGGCAGGGAACACTGCGCAAAGTGCGGCACGAGCCAGAGAGGATCCCAATGTGTTAGACAGTCTGTGTCTCAGATAGTATAATAAAAAACACATACACATACACATACACGGGTTATTTCTCCTAGCTCATCATTATTGAACATTCTATATTTGGATGATTAGGTTTGTTTATTGTGCATAACATGGTTGTAAGAGCTACATGAGTCTAGTGGTTCAGAGTTTTAGAAGCACTTTTCTCGTGTCCTGTCACCAGGTTGACTATATTTTTTGTCAGCACTGCTTCGGCACAACCAACGATCATTGAACGACCGGATTGTAATTTGACATTGGTGCTATAGAGGGTACAGAGTTGTTGAACCAACATATAGGACTTAAGTTGATAAGTTAAAATTCATCGGATATTTTAGTGTTTAGAGACATGGATTTATCGTTTGACATTTGAAGTGTCGGATCAAAAGTGTCATTGGGATTAGTATTGTGACAAGACATTTCTGTCAATTTAGCTTGTTTTTAGGTCTAAATATTAACATATGATAAGAGTAAGGCTTAGGTGCCATAGACTGTTAAACGACATGATCTCGATTATTTTGACTAACTTTGATTGAGTGGTGTGGTCGCTTGAATCAAAAATTTGTTAGCGTTCTTTACGCTAATTTTGTAGTTGTCCACAACGATATCAGTTGGACTCTTTATACTGAAGGCGCTCGGACTTTAAATTAGCGCATAAATATGTTGGCCCGGCAAAGAGGTGCGTTAGCATCGTGGGGGGTCTGTTGATCATCTGCGATCTAGACCCGCCTGTAATTAAAGAACATGTTCTAGCAATATCTGGTGGCTGTTGCAGCAGAAAATCTTGGCTCACCGCTGAGTTGCTGGTGCTATTAGAGTAGTTTTCGATGGGATGATAGATTTAACTGGCAGCCTTTGGCTTAGTAGGCACGCCAGACACTCTCCTAAGGATTCAAATGCCGGGTCTTGCCTGTGAGCCTACTTGGCTTTAAATGATATCTTACATTAAAATATCTTACTTACTACTGACTCATGCTTGGCGTATAGAAGTTGGCGAGGAGTGGCCCATTAAGACATGATTACATAGTGGGACAATCTGGCGGTTGAACGGAGCTCGGAAGTGAGAAACGCGATGCCAAATGAGTGACCAACGCATTCATTTGCGTTGATAATTCATCGAATGCCTGGAAATATTATATTGTTTTCCATCATCGAGCTTAGCGCGTGGACCTCAACAATTGTAATCTCCTGAAGACCAAATTTGGGTGTTTTGAAATTTGCAAACCGCGGTAAATGACGAGGTAATTGATGATGACGCAGAATAAGGAATAATATACCCACCTCCTGTTAATCATATGGATTCTGGAAGTTTGTGATGTCAACTGACTAACCCAGGAACAGGGAACCTTCGGCAGTTTAATTCTTTCTGGTATGGACTGCCATAATTAATATTGTGTCCCGACAAGGCCAACTGTCAATAAATTGAATACACTACGTCCAACATGTAGAACAAAAACTTGAATTCAGCCCTTGTCCAGACCCGGCTAGGGCCCGGTTAATCACACAAGCTCCGATCGCTCATCTGGACTTCGACATCCTAAACTCATCATTTGACGACCCATCATGATAAACAATGTGGGAACTGATCACCTAATATCTGCCATTGCAATTGAGAAATACTTACAGTCTAGTCTTGTCAATGGGGCTTACGCCAAATTCATGACCTTAAACAGAGCTGCCTGTCAATCTAACTGGCTGGAAATCAATTATTTAAACAAGACTAATCAACTTCTACACATTGGACGTAATCTAAGTATAACCCAACCGTCGCAAACTAGTTATTCTAGTGCCAGAGCTGATGAATGATAACGACGAACTGAGTCTCAGAATATTACCTGCAAAAAAAGTTGGTACGGCGAAATATAAGAATGTGAATATTGAGTAATTCTGTACGTGATTAAAGGTTAACAGAGCGAACCAGTTCCTCGCAAAAACTAGACACTTAATACGAGCTTGACTGAAACACTAAGATGCGCATTCTAATAGCTTTGCTGCTTCTCTCACCAATATCAATAATTACAGCACAAAAGACTCCAGACGGAAGTATTGTCCCATTTTCCTCTCGTCTCCCGGCCTGTGCCTCAAAATGTGGCCCTCTATACGATGTACAGGGAAAATGTTCCCCTCCAGTCACTACACACGCAGACAACGATTGTTTTTGTGCCGACGCTCGACTTACGTCATTCAAAACTGGTCCAGCCGGTGTTTCTTCTGTGTGTGGAGCCACAATATGTACATTGGAGGATGAATTGGAAAAGGTCCAAGAATGGTACTTGGACTTCTGTGGCAGAACGGCAACCCGACCAGATCAAGATGAAACTAGTGATGATGCCAACACCCCAGATCAAAATAATACGAGTAGCCAATCATGGTAAGAAATAACACATTTTATAATTGAGGATCTAAATGCTAACCTCATTTTTGATAGGATCAGCGGACATTTTAAATGGGTAATCATGGTATCAATAATTTTTCTTATAATTATTAGTGCTTGGATTTTGGCATGCATATGTCGAAGACGCTATCTCAGAAAAAAAGAAAAAGAAGTCGAAATGGCCCCGCCTGTCGCGTGGGGACCCCATCAGCTTCAAAGTGCAACAGGAGGATATAGTCGACATGACGGTAGTGCTGAGAAATCAAGAAATATACCTCTCAATGCTAGTATTAAGACATCTACCACAATTTTAGCAACACCCATCGACACAGTCACTACTAATAAAGAGGATTCAACGCTAAAAGTAAAAAAAAGATGATGACTTGCCAAGTGCATTCTATTAACTTACTCATTCATAAATCTTTGTACTCGACCGACTGAGCTTGTGTAACAAGTAAAGCTTAGGAGATACACGTGCATGGAGAGTTGTAGAAAAACAGGTTTACTCTGCACTCCACTAGTGTACCGTATCACCACAACACTCAAGGATAATATTGTAGCAGATATGTGGTAAAAAGGCTTCAGGAGCCATTGCATTGATACATCCCTTGAAATACTAATATTTACTCAATAAGTCATCCCATCTGAATAAGGTGGATTATTTAGATATGACATATCAGTGAGACAAACTCATTGTTTATAACGCACTACTGACCAAGACTTAAATATAATCAGGGGCGATAACCATAGGAATAAGCTCTAGCGAACCGCTAAAAATACTAAATGGCACTCTCGGAAAATTAGGCGGGGGATGTATTCTACATTTATCGCGGATAACTTTCCTTTGTCATGTGTAAATATTATCTATCAGATTTCTGTCTAAATACCTAAACTTATGTGACCTGAAACCTTTGAAGGTGATCACAGTAAGACAAATTGCTAGTACCAGCTCGAATTTTGGAAGCCATCCCACCCTGCTGAGAAAAATATTCAGAATACGACTATTTTCTTGTACCTGGTGCCCTCTATTTATCAAAAATCTAACATGATTCCCAATCATCTGATTGTTGTAGAGCATCACATTGTAGATGCTGGGTTGAACCTTCCATGCCAAGAGTATATCGTCGGAACATTTCGTGATCATAGAGTTCAAACAATAGCTCTAATTCACAAGTTTACGGGCATTCCAAGCCAATACCTGGAAGATGATAAATTCATACATTATAAAGTTCTCTGACGGTCCAGTAGGTTTCTGTAGAGTTATTGGGACCATGATTTAATCTAAAAACTCTTCTTCTTTGGTATATCTTTCTTCTCCACATTCATTATACGTTCTCAACTATCCCTACAGACAATATGATATTGACAATGATGCAATACAAGAGGAGTTTCTGTTTTATACTGCGGTGTACTACCAACCAACGGAACAAAAATAGCTCACAAGATCAAAGGGACAAGTGTTGAAATCTAGACATGCCAGACCGAACTGCACGCAGTGCGGAGTAGACGAAGACTACTCATCTTCGATCGCTACCAGCATTGATGAGGTCTCGGTTGGTAATGATCTCGGTGGTGTGAATGTTATTCCATCACGTAATCAGAACACAATGTTTCTACGTAAGCGAAGTAGAACATAGATAGACAATTAGATGTAGATTAAACCAAAAATACTTTTAACTACTGAAATATAAGTTCAGTAAAACCAAAACCTCACTGATCCTAACCTTTTATCTCTGATCCTTAAATCCTCAATATCCTACGATTCGTACAGTATTGACTTGACGGTCAACGTTCACTTTTATCATTCCAGATACCCCCCTAGAACTTTAATAAAAAGCCCTATCGACAAAGAAACGAGAAACTCTGGAGTTGCTGTATAGTCTCTCTTAAAACTGCAAATCAATTTTGCTACCCAAGGAGGCTTCCAAATTACACTAGCCTATCGAGATCCCACATCCTCAAGCGTATGGAGATGACTTACCTGGATGAGTGAATGAAAGATTATTCGTGATGGGCACAAGCCTAGCACTCATAGAACATGACACAGAGAAGGCCAGTCCTTTCCTGGCTACTATATACGACGGTGACTCGGTTTGATATTTGGACTACTCATGTAGTGAATGCATTCGCTGATACCATTCAAGACCTTGGTGCTAGAGACATTCACCCTTCTCTCAACCGTTAATATCCACCGAAGGGAAAACATGAAAAACCTTCGGCTACCCTGACATGCCTTTGCCATCTTGTATATAGCCGCCGCGCGAGATATGGTCTCACAGTCCTCCCTTTCTCGAGTGAGATAGGTGTCCAGGCTACCCAGACTTTAACTCGGGGAGATGACGACCAGGAGGCGGACCAAAACACCTTCCATCGTTGCCTGTTTCTAGAGTGTCGGTTGCGCTATCCGAAATCGTTGCCTTTGCGCCCATAGGTACTCTTAAGTCGAAGACACTCGAAAAATGTGCGTCCCGACATGCCCATTTATGACCTCTTCACTCGTTCGTCCCACATCCCAGCTGCCTGTCCTCCCTCAAGATGTGAAGCCCCAAGAGAGCAAGTGTCACCCATAGACCAAGACCCGAGCTTTGTAGATTATGACTTGAATTCTTCCTCGCGGTTATTCATAGCAACGTAAATGTGTATTGGGAGATCTTCGGTTTTTATGAGGCAAATGCCCGATTGCAATTGGAGTAACGCCATTATCGGTAATTGAGGCGAGGTGGTGTAGAAAGGTTGAGGTGGAGGACTCGCGTGAGAATGACAAGACCAACATTTATAAGAAGTCGCCGATTATAGATTTGTCTATGTTTACTTTTAGCTTTGATTCTGATGCGACTCTTCTTGGCTATCCCAGATATGCAGAGAATACTGGGCGATTACGTCGGCACAACAGGAAGGTGAAGAATTCGTCTTTGCCGACCGTTTATCAATAAACGTGCTAGGCTACAATCATTTTGCAAACTCCTATATCAGCTTGAGCACGAGTGAAGACAGACTAGGTCGCTATAGCTTCCACCAAGTACATGTACCTCATCCCTCACCTTAGCTTTTAAATCGTAAAGTCTAAACGTTGTGGTGTACGATATCAACAATTGTGCCTCCTGTCGGGGTAGTCAAGTAGACTTGATCAGTGTTGTCAGCCAGACTAACGGAACTAACCGAGCCTAAACGCAGGATATTGTATGCATGTATCGTTATACAGTGCCTCTGGGTTGGAAAAGGTAAAACTTCAAACTGGGTTGTTGAAGCGATTAGCCCTGTAGGTGCAGTTGGGCTAGCTCGTAATAGGTTAGTATGTCTCTCCTCCTTACCCCGCTCGCCATGAAGTATGGTCCAATCGTCTTCTTCTAATAATCGCTTAGTAAAACACATTTTCAACAACAATCTTGACTGCCTAACCTAAGCAGTCCTCGAATCTTAACATCACACTCAATTCATCCTCACTTCTAGCAAACAATGTCTCTTCAAAAGTCCGCTTCAGAAACTAAAGCCCGCAAGCATCTAACTCGCGATCAATGTATTGAAATAAGAGTATTAAGAAGACTTGGCTTGACATTACAACATATATTCGACGTACTTAGCTTCACAAGAATGCAAGTGCAACTTGCGTGTGCTCGAGAGACTGAGAATCCTAAGCCTCGTAAAAGATGCTTATCTAAAATAAGCGCGCAACAAGGTGATGAGCTTGAGACTTTCGTCCGGGAATCTCCTGAAAATCGACAGATGTGCTACTTGGAACTAGCAATGGGGCCCTTCAGCCACCGGGGGTGCAGTGAACGTTTAATTTCGAATGCCCTCAGTAAAATAGGTTACAGCAGATGCATTGCTCGGAAGAAGCATCCGTTAAGCGCGGTGAACAAGCAGAAAAGATTGGAGTTCGCCCAAATACATTTAGATTGGAGCGATGAACAATGGAGTCGCATATTATGGACTGATGAAACCCGGGTATCAGGTGATTCTCGTATGGAACCTCGTGTCACAAGAAAAATACATTAAGATTCTATCAAAATATTCCTTGTACTATCAGCAGAGTTTGGCCTGATGATGAGTTTGATGAGACTTGTATTGTGGCTCGCCATACTCATGGGAACAGCTGGGTGTTTTGGGGATCATTTTATGGATCACAAAAAGGCCTATTCCTAGTCTGGTAGAAGGATTGGGAATCAATGAGGGCTTTATCCTTTTGTGAAAGGATTTTGCCTCTTTTGAATCAATCTCACTCGGAAAATCCAGAAATTCTATACATGCACGACAACGCACCAAGTCACAAAGCGTACTCAACAATTGAGGCGCTGCATGAAGTTGGAATAACGCCTATTAGATGGCCACCTTACTCTCTGGACCTGAACCCGGTCGAGTCATTGTGGAATATATTAAAAAAACCACATTCAGATAAGTAGTCCTGAGAAAATTGGGGTCAGGCTTGTGCGCTCTGCCACGTTGAAGACATTGCTACAGGATGCATGGGACTCTATACCTTCTGAGGAGCTATTGTCACTAGTTGGCAGCATGCACGAAAGATGTGTAGCAATGATAAAGGCAAATGGAGGGTACACAAAGTATTAGGATGGAGCAGACTAATTCAAAACATGTAGTACACTTTCGTTCTACTTGCGAGCCATACTGAGGGTTTCGATGTAGACTTTTGTAATATGGAGCAATAATTTTTGAAATAGTTGTGCATTTTTAGAGAACATCAATTGATTTTTTTAATTTTGAATTTCAAATGAGGACCATTGTACTTTTCCCATTGAATTGAGAACATTCCCCATTAATTTTGACTTTCACGGAATATCATTGGATAGTACCCCTGCTTGCAAAACTAGTCGAAAAACTAGATATGGGCCTGCATGAAGACTAAACCAATCTAATCATTAGGTACAGGGATATAACCCCAGTCATTTTGACAATTTTACCTTTGCCATCCATAAGAGACTGTAGGATACGTACATGCTACATCATTCCTCCTTCCCGTCTGTATTTCCTAGACTTAGCTCCTATGCCTTAATTTTTCTGTCCCACCTGTCTAAGAGACTGTAGCTTATGATTGACAAGAGTTCATAATCACGATGCCAGCCATGAAGAGATATCAATTTTGGCACACCAAAGCGCATATTATTCCTCTGCCTTGGCCAACACGTACTGGAGCCCTTAACATATATGCGCATTCGAATCTTCCCCTTCAACTGAGCCTCAGCTTTGCTACGTCTTATAATATGAAGATAACAAGCAGAGTTTGTTTTCTTCACTGGAGACCTCATCTAAAAGCCAGAGCCGAATACGTTTTGCGCCTTGCTAAACTTTGACTGTTTAAGGTAGCAGCGACTTTCTAGATTGGAGTAAACACCTCATAGGACCCTGCGGAAACTCTCGCCTCATTTTTACAGCACTAAATAAATCATCTGCATTAGCTTATTCCTAGTTGACAAAGGAACCAAATTGTTTTAGGCTGTAATCATTTTGTTTACAGAATTCTTGTTTGCCTAGCAATACGGCATTTCATGAACGGAGGTATACGAGAGCTCATTAGCCTATCATTCGTCAATCGATTGATCGATTATGATCAGTGGACCTAGCGCGTATAAAATTGATCAGAGAGTGTACAAAAAGTCTGGTCGCTTGTCGCCCAGGTCTTTTAAGGAATCTGGACTCAGTCCTATTACCCACTTATCTCTCTCACCATTTGTTCTTAAACGATTTTCTCGCTGTAAGAGTTGTCTCAATAGCACACTACCAGCTAGTAGGAATACTGACATGAAGGCAATAACAGTAGCATGCCCTGCAGAGTAATCAGGAGCGTTAAAGTAGACATTCGAGCTTACTATGCCACTAAGATTACCCCAACCTATTACAAAGCCCAACACGATTCCTCGCTTGTATTCACCCTCAGTGTTATTTGCGATCCAGGAAAGTGTGTTGGGTGCGCAAGGATAGATCCCAAGAGCCCCAAGAAAGGTACCGGCATATTTGACGCGAGGCTTTGATGATGCGAGAAGCATTACGAAACCCACTATCCCTAGGAATGATATGAAGATATTACAGAAACCGCGTTGTCGGGTTCTATCTCCATACCAGCCGATGAAGATTGTCAAGAAAGTAGCCGCAACATAGGGAGGTACCGATAGAAGTTGACTTGCGTTCGGGGAGTAGCCAAGCTGGTTGATGATAGAAGGTAGGAAGAGTGAGAAGGCATAGAGTGGCATGAGTATACCAGAATATATGCCCATACTAATCCATGTTTTATAGTCTGATACCGCTATCCAGAGATATTTCATTTGGAAGGTTTCATTTTGAGATCCGCGTTCTCCCAAACCTTGTTTATCAGAATTTAAACGATTGATAAAGCGCGTACGTTTGGCGGGAGAGAGAAATTTTGCCCTGTGAGGGAAATCCTTTATGGCCCAAAATGATGCGATACCCAAAATAATCGTGATACTACCTTCCAAAATGAAGAGCCAAGCCCATCCAGGATGACCTCCGAGCCCATCCATCTGACTAATTCCGGCCGCGAGAAGACCACCAAAAGATCCAGAGACGGCTGCCGAGGAGAAGAAAATCGCCGTGCGGATTCCGATTTCCGAGCGCGTGTACCAACAAGAAAGATAAAATGCAATTCCAGGGAAAAGGCCAGCTTCGGATAGGCCTAGAAACCACTGATCGAATGAGAAAAATATCACATCAGGGGCTTTGGTCAAACTTACCCTTGCGGCCATCAGCCCAGACCAGTTCTTTGCAAACCCCATGAAGGTCATGCATAGACCCCAAATTATCCTCCAGATATTAGATGTATTATTGAATACCACAGGAAATCTTAGCACTTACATGATGCTTGAGATGAAAATTGGGGGACTAAAACGCTTCAAGAATATATTGGAAAGGGGCTCGAAGATAGAATATGAAACGAAAAATATCGTCAACGTGGCATTGAATCTTTTTGTAGAGAGATGCATTGATCGGGAGAGCCCATCGACTTTGGCATTGCCAATGTTGGAGCGGTCGAGGAAGGCGAAAAGATAGATGAGACATAGCTTACGAGCGCCATAATATCAGCAAGACCGTCGATATTGAAGCCGTCAAACTCTTACCCAAGGAATGAGTGTGAGATCAACTTGGCGTGTAACTCTTTTATCCTTTGGGAATCTTAGCTTTATTACGAAAAAGGTGAATGTAAGGGTGACGTAAATTTTCATCATTTTCATTTTCATCTTCATCTTCAACCAATGCTTTTGGCTCCTGGGATTTCGGCATGGCGTGCAGTTACGGTTTTGTGTCTTCTTTCCAAGAGATCAAAGTCGGCATTAAGTAATTTACAGGTCTATTTGAGCAGCTCGGGCGCCATGTAGTCCGAGCCCTTTCGGTAAGTTCGAATGTTGTGATCGGCGCTGGATCGCCGGCTAGAGTTCTAGTCCCCTGTCATAGATGCTATCAATATCGTTGCTAGTCTGGTATAAAGGGCGCTATCGTTTAAATACGCCTTTTTTTTAAAATACTGGTCGGTACTCCCCGGGTTATGTGCATTTTGTGTGTCGTCTCCATCCACAGGCCAGGGATACCTATGCTAGTGATAAATCCCCTCCTATGCCTTCGATACAGCTCCCGCCAAACAGTTACACCTCTCATAGGTCTTCATTTGATCACTTACCTAGAGGAGCCCTTAACCTTTCATTTTATCCCCTACGTAGCCAACGAATCGATTTCAATCAACCGGTAAACTGTAGCCCGGGGTAATCGCAAAAGCCTTTGAGTGCGGGGCTCTCATCATACCGACTTTGGACTAAATCCGAAGACTTAGCCACCCTTCTGGAGCATTCGGAGGGAGCGCAGCACTTGACACCTGTCCGCAGTGTCCTCAACGAACCTAGGAGCGAGAAATTAACCCAGAGCAAAGTTTAGTTAAATCTCACAACACCAACAAATTAGACTCAATAGGCAATGATCCAAGTAATTTCAGCAAATAAATCTATCACTCCAACAAGATCGATATCTACCAATGTCTCATTAAGTGTAAAAACTCTACATGGTGTATCCTCATTTCAGTGACTACACCCTGCGATTATTCTATGGCCTAAACTAGCCACCAAATGCACACTCGCGCTAATATTTACACCCGACAGAGGAACTAAACCGTAGCGCACAAATTTAAGAGGTATTACTTTGGAATAGGTGTTAGGGAAATCAGGACGAGTTTACAAAATGACACAGAGGATAGATACAATCTCGATGGGCGTGAAATTTTGAATTTTGGCAAAAAGTTTTAACAAATTGAGCTTTGTGCGTGCCAAGTCTTCGGTTGCGAGAGTGCAGGCGACACTATAAACACTGCCATGGCTGGATGGTGCAGCGGTATATCGTCTTGGCCGGTCTGCCAAGTAGAATCTGGATAGCTTAAACACATATCCCACTTGAGACAGTAGATTACTGGTTCAAATCCGGCAAAACACGAACAAATTTCTACACCTGCTGATATGCATAGATGTGGAAGGCATGCTTGGATAATCAAAGGTTTTGAAATATCCCTTTGATGGGTAGTCACAGAGGAGGGTGGAATGTTTGTGAATCCAAAAATACCTCAGTGGTATTGACGAATAAAATCCAGAGTATGAATGTCTCTAACTTCAAAAGAGTCATCCAAAATGTATAAATAACATTAATTATGTATCACATTTGATTTTGAATGAATAAATGAATATTTATTGTGACGGGCACAAGCCTAGCAATCATAGAACATGACACAGAGAAGGCCAGTCCTTTCCTGGCTACTATATACGACGGTGACTCGGTTTGATATTTGGACTACTCATGTAGTGAATGCATTCGCTGATACCATTCAAGACCTTGGTGCTAGAGACATTCACCCTTCTCTCAACGGTTAATATCCACCGAAGGGAAAACATGAAAAACCTTCGGCTACCCTGACATGCCTCTGCCATCTTGTATATAGCCGCCGCGCGAGATATGGTCTCACAGTCCTCCCTTTCTCGAGTGAGATAGGTGTCCAGGCTACCCAGACTTTAACTCGGGGAGATGACGACCAGGAGGCGGACCAAAACACCTTCCATCGTTGCCTGTTTCTAGAGTGTCGGTTGCGCTATCCGAAATCGTTGCCTCTGCGCCCATAGGTACTCTTAAGTCGAAAACACATGAAATATGTGCGTCTGAGCATGCCCATTTGTGGCCTCCCCGCTCCTTCATCCCACGTACCAGCTACCTCTCCTCCTTTAAGATGTGAAGTATTAAAATGTATAACCCACTAATTAGTTCCTGGACTTCTTGGTGGAGGGAAGCTTATGCAATAATGAAGGATAATAGGATGTCAACTCGACGACTCTTCCAAATACAGGTACCAACCTCCTTTTGGTCCCAGTAGATAGCCCGTGCGGGATCTCTTATCATCAGCAGTAAACAACGCTAACACAGGGTAAACGCAACCTCTGTTTGCCAAAAACCAGTCGGTCGGGACTACTGATTATCGAGCCTAGTAGGATCGACAAAGTGTATCCCAACACAGAAATAATAGGAAACTCGACAACCAAACCCTTCATCAATTCGAGAAATTCGAAAATTCGAAAATTCATTTTTTCCCTCTTTCCTCCCTTCTCGACCTCGTCGCATCTATCTCTGAATTGTGATCGAACTCAGGCATTTCACCATGCCTCCAGTTCGCAAAAAGCGCCCCAACGTCAAGTTGGACAACACGAGAGTCCACCCGAGGGCTCTCCAACAATTACCTGGCCTTGCCCAGTCTCCGAAATGCGCGGAGATGAGCAACGTCTCTACCAAAGGGAAGGAAAAAGCCCTCCCCACCGTCACTGAGCCCGATACTGACATGATCGGGTCAGTCGAAATTATTGAGGAAATTCCTCAACCATCCTCCGTCCCCCACGGGATTGGAGAATCGTCAAAATCTCCCCCGACCGCGCCAAAACTGTCGGAGAACGCTGCACCCAAAGCAGCGTCAAAATCAACGTCGCAGCCCAAAGCTGCCACGAAAGCAGATTGCCCTCCGGAACTTCGACCGATTATCGAAGCCGAGCAACGACGTGCCGCCGAAACAGCGGCAAATCTGGCCCTCTGCTCCGCCGCCATCTCTGGCGTCGAAGTCACCCTTCTTCCTTTGACCAACGGGTCAAACAGACAATTTGTAGACTCGATGAGAGTCTACCTACGCGCAGCCATCGCGCAATACATGGCCACGGGCCCGGCCTCCACGCCACCCGTCCTCCCTCCTCGCCCGGCGAACCCGATCCCAAGGGCTCCCGACGTCAGGAGCACAACGATTTCCGCCGTCCCAGCGCTGCCTATAAAAAGCATCTGGGCCACGGTGGCCAGAAATGGACTGCAACAAAAAGCAGTCCCAACTGTAAAGGCTGCTCCGCGACCTGCGGCAAAAGCCCAAAAAAAAGAAGCTCCGAAGGCTAAAGTCGACAAACGACTGTTCCTTCGCTTAGAGAGCGATCACCCATGGCGCCAGCTTTCGCCTGACGGCATACGGCATCAATTATGTTGTAGGCTACTGTACACATTGAGTGAAAAAAGCTCTATACACCGTGTCAGAACCGGATTTGCGATTCTGACAGCGGATGAAAATGAAAGGGAAGAGCTCTTAGATGCCTCACCGAAGTTGTCGGACTTCAATGCCAAAATCGAGGAAGCCTCCAACCTTGTCGCCTTTCGGATCGCGAATGTTCCAGCGACTATAAAATTAATTAACCGTATTGAGACGGTCGATGCCGGTAGGATCTCACTGGAGATTTACCGCAAAACACAACGACGTCCATGCCAGGTGCGACCGCAAGGGACATGTCGTCCTGGAGCGCCATACAGAAACTGGTATGCCCTTTTCAACCGGGACTCCGCCCCTCGTGCGGGCTTCCGAATTCTCGACGAGTCCGGAGCGGCTACAAAGATCCAGCCTCGTCGCCAAATTGAACAGTGCAAACGCTGTTTGGGCTTCCACGCCACCCGTGGTTGCTCCCGCGCCCCAGCGTGCTGGAACTGCGGATCAAATATGCACTCGGAAGCCGAGTGCAAGGCCCTCACTAAGTGTCGCAACTGTGGGGGACCCCACCGATCGGATTCTCGGGACTGCAAAGTCAGACCCAGAAAGTCTGGACCGGTGACCAAAGAGCAGCTCGCGTGGATCCGCCACATCGAACAAGGGGAGTTCGCGAAGGTGGCACGAGCACGAGCAACAGCAAAGAAGGCCGAGGAGGCAATCACCGCCGCTGCAAAGGACGTCTCAATGGCCGAGGCTACAGGTTTCGGAGCTCTGGAATTTGAAGAAGAAGTTTGAGGACACAGCAACCTCGACAATGTCCCTTTTGGGGCATATTCTAACCAATAGCAGGATACCGGCTGGATAAAAAGTGCCTGCTATCTCATCTCTTGCTCTCAGCGGAGATTGAGTAAATTTGTCATTTGGAAGATGTGGCAGGAAAGGGAACGGGCGAGAAGCGCGGGATCCGGACCACATAAAAAATCTTGTAAATTTGATTTCAGTCTTTGGCTTTTAGTTTTGATTTTAGTTTTTGATTACAGTTTCTGAGTTATAATTTACCTGCTACTTTTTCTGTAGCGGGTCACGCCGTTGGAAGGAGTTGGGCCTGTAAGCAGTGATCCCCGCCGGCTCCACCAGTCTTGTACCGATAGTGGACCTAGAGCCTTAGCTTAGGACTTTAATATAATAAAAAAAAAAAAAAAAAAAACCCCTCCATGAAAACAATTCGAGAAGCCCCCAATCTGCCCATTCCCCCCCTTTTATCCATCTCACCCTCTGAGGAACGAATCGAATCGCATTTGTTTGCCATCGGCGGCATTTTAAAATGCCTCTGACGCGTAAAACGCACCAAAACGCGATCAGCGGCATCACCAAAGATCGCGCCAACAAACCTTATCAATGGCATACCGCCATTCAAAACCACGCAAAGAACATGCTAGCAAGGCGAGGACTCGAGTCCAATCTTCAAAATATGAACACCATCGCGGCAGCGCTCCAAGCGAAGGAGAACGATGTCCCCGAGGTAGAGATGGTGGACGCAGAAGTCGAGAAGTTAAAAACCCTCGCCGATTCAGTTTGGGCATCCTCCAGCCCAGAAGACGCAGAGCAAGTCTTTGATCCCACCGGATCCCCCAGAAAAACCGTCGTCGCACCCGAGAAGCGCATCACGGTTCCAGCACTACCGCGACCTGCAGAAGTGGGGCCCGCGAAAAGGGCTGAAACACCATCCACTAAGGCAGCAGGAGCCGAA